CATAAGGCCTATCTACTGTAATAACAATGGGAACAATTTACCTGACCGTTTTCAAGAGGGGAAAACCTTGAATTTTGAAGAACTTAAATTAAAGTCGCTAAAAGATACTTCAGAAGTCGGGAAAGCTCATTTCCCACCATTTAGAAATCAACATTTTCCCGGTAAGAACCTGAACCTCCCTTTTCTCTTTGGGTTCATTGATTCATTATAATAATTTTCAAGAGGGAAATACCTTGAATTTTGAAGAACTTAAAAGTGATTAAAAGACACCTCAGAAGTCGGGAAAACTCATTTCCCGCCTTCTAGGAATCAAAATTTTCCCGGGGGAGAGCCCCCGGACCCACTCTCTTTTTGGGATTCATCGATTCATGAAAAATTCGTATGCAACTTCTCATTTTTTAAAATTGTTTATGTATGTATACATACACACATAAGGCCTTGGGCCTATTTACTGTAATAACAATAGGAAAAAATTACCTGACCGTTTTCAAGAGGGGAAAACCTTGAATTTTGAAGAACTTAAAAGTAATTAAGACACTTCTTTTCAGGACAGGAGTCGGGAAAAAGCTCATTTTCCGCCATCTAGGAATCAAAATTTTTCCGGGGAAGAACCCCCGAACCCCCTTTTCTTTGGAGCTTATCGATTCATTGAAAAAAGAATACGTATGCAACTACTCATTTTTTTTTAAATGTACAGTACGTATACACACATAACAGGCATTTACTGTAATGAGAAAGTTTACCTTACCGTTTTCAAGAGTGGGAAAACCTTGAATTTTGAAGAGCAAAGTCATTAGACACCTAGTTTAAAAGTCGAGAAAGGTCATTTCCCGCCATCTAGAAATCAAAATTTTCCCGGGGGAGGAATGTTGACCCCACCACCTAGGTTTGATGCCAGATCTGCATGATTCATATTCCCATTTATCTTAAGTGCCCCCCCCCCCCCAACTTTGAAAAACGTTCCACCGGCCCTGCATTCCAGTGTATTGTTAAGTCGTACTGCCAAATACTGTATAGTGAAATAAATAAAACCAAATTCTTCACTGTAGCTAGAGCCAGATCTGATTTTTATTTTCGGTGGCCATTTTGTTCCCGACACTTTTCAGAGGTACATAGCTAATTTTTTTCAAACTGTAGACCCCTCAAAAAAAAAAAATTAACACCCGCACTCACAATGAACGAATCCAACCACCGAACTGTGTTTTTCGATCGGAAAAGGACAGTGAGCAAGCCAAGAGCAGGCGGATACATCGCCACAATCTAGGCCAAAAAGTAGCTGGAGTTGGCTGGTAAGTCTGTTCCGGAGTATTGTATTATTACAGTCTTGTGGATGTTACGTTATCACTAGCTGCAATTTTCAGTATGGCATTTTCTGATGTAAGTCTGCATTTTCTAGTTGAATTGCTGTGTTAGAGCAAGCAGGGCAGTGTCTCGATCGACACACGATTCGGTCCCGACATGGTCTGGTGCCTCCTCGAACCTTTTTCTTTTGGGATGTTGAAGTACTGCTTAGCGGGATATTTGTAAATTCATAAATACCAACACATGTTATTCGTGAATGCTAATAGAAGGAATTCGTTGTTGTGGTACATGCCTACAAAACGTTTAGAAGTACGAGCGAGAGGGAAGAAATTTGTATGTTTTCCATTACCTGTACATTGATTGGATCGGGCATTTTGATACAAAGAGTATTGCACCGATACAGTAACTGTCCATTCATGATTGAGGAGGCACCTCTTTTTAGCAAGCAATGCAGAGGGACACGTCATCTCTTCATTCAAATACCTAGTTCAACAGGGGGGGTGGGGGTAAAGGTGATGGGCAGGTTGGACGGATTTCCCCTTTGGGGAGAAAAAGAAAAGAATAACAGCCCAGAACACCTCAGATGTTATTTTCGGGCGTCTAGAACACAAAATTTTCATGGACCCCCAGTACAGTGTTGTCTCGGGCCCAACTTTCGGCGCCCCCCCCCCCCTTTTTTTTGGACATCTCTGGATCCGCCCCTGATTATTGCATGGGAAATTAAGAAATAAGAAGAAAAATTGATAGCCAAAACGCCTCGGATGTTATTTTTAGGCGTCTAATAAAAGTGAATCTAGATCGATCCCCTTCTGCCCCCCCCCCCCTTTGGACATCTCTGAATCCGCCCCTTTTCATTTATTCCAGGCTAGCCTAGGTAGATAGGACACCTAGCCATGTTAACCATAATATATTTTTTACTTATACTGTATGGTATCCTATTTGTTTCTTTTAGGGTGTTTCTCTGTCTTTCAAACAATACCAAGGTAAGCTAATTACTAGCCTAATTATACAGAATCCGGTAGTAAATAGAAAAATATAAACTTGTTTGGTACAACTTAAAGATCTAGGAAAACACAGCTAGATATATGACCTAACCTAGGGAGCGAGCCCAATGATACTACTGTATGTTAGGGCATCCCCTATACTTTTGAGAATGGTTATTCCCCCACCCCCACCCCCTTCCCATACAAGATGGCAGCCTTAAGTGAAAGTTAATGTAACACTCTGCCCACCAATCACGGAGATCTCTGTATTTGGTAACGCAATGCTTCACCGGCAAACATGGAGATCTTCGTGTTTCAGGTTTTTTTACGGAATCTGATAGATGGGGTAATTACCGGTGTACTACAGTTTGAACACTATATTCAGTCTGGACCGTAAGTATTTCACTCTTTGTTATTTACATTAGCCTAAAGTGGTATTGATTTACTTTCATAAAATCGTGATTTTCTCAGCTTCGTTGTGCAAAATTGCGTATCTCCAAAAGTGAGTCATTTTCATTTTACTGTTTAACGAGTCACAGTTGTGATTAGAATAAAGTGTTTGGTACCATTGTAAAGCTAAAATGTTTGTAGTTCTTGTAGTATTCACTACATGTCAATCTGATCACACATGCACTCTCAACGAGCTTCAGAAAAGTGTTCAAATTTGCTAAAAAGTCTGGTGGTGGCAGATACTATTTTTTCAAACCCCAGGCGGTCAGAGTGTTAATATTAAGCCAGCGCCACCAATCAGCACCTTGGATTTGCAAAAAGTTGTCAGAACAATGCCACTTTTATTTATATGTGTTATCCAGAGAGTTCAGTCAAGGGCATACACTGGTTTTCCTTTTTTATTTGGCTGGGGGAGGGGGAGAGTGTTGGGGTAGAATGGTGTGATAATTAAGAATACAGAACTAAAGCCCTTTTCCACTACTGTAAGTATTTTTTTGTGCTAATTTCTGACAGAAAAGTTTCAGCTACTGTACATACTGTAATCAGTGGATTGTGGATTGGCATTCATCCAAATTAGGGTTATACTTTTCTGTATGACGTCCCCTTCCATCCTGCTCCTTCCTATTAAAACTTCAACCAAGAACAGCTCATATCTTGCACTGTCAGCAGATGATGGTTGAGAAAAAATCTAAGCCAGTCATAAACTACAGTACATACAGTACGTCCTTTTAATATTGTAGAACACTACAACAACAATGAACAGTACGAGATTGCAACCGTAAATCCTCAAATAGAAGCCTGGTCTTTTTTGCTTGGGCTTCTTTTTAAGATAGCATTGGCTTCTTTTTGAGACTACTTTTGCAAACTAAAGAGGGATGTAGGACTTTGATTTGAGATGGGCTTTCTCTGGAGATTAAGCCCATTGGGCTTCTATTTGAGTTTATACAATAGAGTAATAGGACAAGTAAGGCTAATATTATAAATGTTAGTGTTGTCATTTTTATTCCATAGCGTTTGAAAGTGCTCATTGATAATATGTTTGCTATAATTACTAAATATTTGCAAGTTTTTTTGTAGCCTCATCTAAAACATTTTTAGTACTGTAAAACCAGTAATTTTCGCGAATTGATAACGTGGGCCGTTTACGCAACATGAAACTTTTGCGAATTGAAAAAGGCCGAAATTTTATTCATGAGAGGAAAACCATACAACATCTGAACAGCCTCTGTCTAAGGCTAGCTAGGGCTAGGCATAATCCTGTCTATCTGCTAGGACTTAAAGCCCTATTCCCGGCAAAATTTCAGTTTTTAAGAAAAATCTAATTTTTGTATAATGTTATAAAGATTTATAAATATAATACGGAATTGCTAGTTTAACTGAATTTAGACATTCCTAAGAATGAAAAAATGTAAAAAAAGACTGAAATTTGATTTTTTTTGTGTTCCACACAAAAAATAAATGCGGATGAATTTTTCATGTTGATTTTGCGATAGGTCGTGAGAAGAAATATCGTAGGCACCGAAAACATTAGCCTATCCAACGCTGCTAGGCTAGGCCTAGCCTTACCTCAATTTAGGTTCTGTTATCACACATAAAAACGGCCGACATGGTATTTTCCGTTGCTAGTATTGACACTTGTGAATATAATATTTCATAGGAATTATTTCAAATTTGTTAAAAAACTGATTCTGACTGAGATTTTGACACTTACTTAAACATCTCAGCTTAACCGAGCCACCGCATTGTGCGAGATGCGAAGTACAAAAACTAATCTCATTAGAGAGGGCGCACTTTATTGACTGTATAAAGTATACATAAAAGCGAGAGTATTCCAGTGGATGCGATCTACAACCTCTGAATTTGCCTAGTAACGATGAATTCGTCCAGAAAATGGTAATATTTTATGAGAAATAGTCTGTATTTCTCTTTTTTTTTTAATTCTTTTGTGTAAAACTAAAATTCATGCCAATATTTTTCCATGATTTATAATAATTGGAGTAATGCAAATGCATATTTTCTAAAAAAAGTCAATTTTTAGTGAAATTTTGCCGGGAATGGGGCTTTAACTGGCCAGGCACAGAATTATGATAAAGAGAAGAAAGAGAAAACTTTACATATACAGTAGTACTCACTCATATGATCATCATATACTAATTTGAGTAAGGACAACAATTTTGTGCTGATTTATTGTCCAGATGCCTGCAAAGCTTTGGAAGAAGTATACTGTAGCACCATTCTTTTAAATGTCTTACCGTTATTGGCATATTTTGAGTTCCTATTTACTGAATGTCCATTAAAATATCAAAGAACAATTTTACAATAGCACAAGTCTGCAAAATATTGGACGAGGACTTGTCACGCTACAAAAGCAACACATGTGAGAATTCATCATTCAAATTACGTATGTACAATAAAGTGAAAGGAGCAGCAGAGTATTCAGTATGTAGTAGGTAAGTGGATCGTAACACTTCAGTGAGTGCGGCTGACATCTGGGAAGAGATGATACAGGATTCCGATGTTAATATGGACTGTTTTCCACTGGAAAACACAAATCAACAGATTACTATATTTTAAATTTGTTATAAACAGCTATACTTTTTTATACTGAATGTGTTTAAAGGTTAATTTAAAATCACCACTAACCAAGTACAAGAATAGGCTGCCAGCGGGAGCATGTGTCTGTGCGCCCATGTAGTTGGATCAAAAATTTAAAAGAAATAATAATTGGCCTAGATACAAATAACACTATTCTAATATTGTGGTTTAAAAGTACATTTAGGACCAAATTAAGCCATAAAACTCTCCCAATGAACTTGGTATTTCCCGCCGTCGACCGACGCTTCGTTGTCGCCTTAGTTCGGACCCCTCCGTCGGACACTTCGGACCCCCTGTCGGCAAGTTTCTGGAGCCACCATTGATTTTTACAAACAAAGTATCCACATGGGATTTCGGTTATCAGAGAATAGGTCTATGAGGTGTATTTTTTTAAAAGGGATGAAAATTGAAACTTTAATGAATTCTTGAATTTCAAAACAAGACTTTGTGTTTTGTTCCACTCAACATTGGATTAAACCACAATTACGAATCAAAATTTAAATAAAAACAACAATATGTACTGTTACTTCAAGTTTAATAATAACAGTAATAATAACGACGACAACAACAACAACAACAATTATAAATAAAAAAAATAATAAATTTAATTTTAAAATATCATTTTAGTTTTTGCAGCTAAAATACTGTATGAATGCATCACCTTGCTCTGCTTCTAGACGCAGGGTTCCCGGAACGCCGCCCTCAGCGGCGAGTGAGAAGCACAACTCAGGGTCAGAAGTGGAACGTGAAATTTGGATATGGTTTTGTAGTCAGATTTGCGAGAAAAACTTCAGCTACCTGTATTTCTCGACTGAGACGTCAGTGGGAGCTGTAATTTGTATGGCAAGGAGATTGAGCAACCTTTATTCAATTTAGGGAATTTACGCCCAGAAACTTTGTAGTTATTAGTATTTTGGTTATAATAGAAAATATTCATATTTTGGTGACATCACACTCACATTATTTAGCATGCATACGTCATAAGCTAGATACGTCACCTTTTCCTGGTAAGGCAAACTTTCCCGGCGTGCTTTTTTCATGGACAAAAAAAAACCACTGCTTTGCACATGGATGCCTTGCCCAAGCCAGGGCTACAAGAGCCGCATTGTTAGCATTGTATACTTAAATAAGGTACCTCTGCAAATGAATTATTCTTATAGTTATTTTTTTTTCTTATTTTAATTTATTTCTTCCGAAAGTGTACTTTCTATCACATATAATTCCACTGTCTTAGTTAGGCCTAGGCCTAGTCTTATGCCTCATCGTCCCCCGCTACACAGTACATCAGCAGCCCCTCCCCCATACAGTACAGACGTTTGCTAGGTAACAACGTGATTGCACCTTCCTTCCCAGGTGTTCATGTAACATTGACATAATTGTTAGCTAACCAGTTGTGTGTATTTCTTTGTGAAAATGAGTACCGTGGCGTTTGCATTTGCATCCCCTCTTGGAAAGAGGGATTCGAAATAATTGTCTCCATATCTTCGCTAATTAAATTAATCACCGTAATTTATCTTACACTTATGAATTTAGGGAGCACTTAAAATGTGAAATAATCATTTCACTACCCTACAAACTCCGAAATTTATTCATTCATTAGGCCTATATAATTTGCTGTACTATATACTCCAACATCACTGGCGCATGGTAACAACCAACTGACTGCAGACCATTTCCGGTCACACATAACATAACACCCCCTAGTTCCGTCACCTCTGGTTTTATATTGTAGCATGTTTGAAAGGAAAAAAAAGGCCTCCTAAAATAAAGGTCAGTGACATACCATACCTGTAGGTTTTTTTTCAGAACACATTGTTATACAGTAGATCTTTATCACCCTGTTGGTGGTTTGGTTTTGTAGACTGATTTTTAATCCTCTTTTTTAGAAAGAATTCTATCCTCATGATGAATATTATTTTATTGAATGTTTAGCATGCAGTGAACTTGGTTCATAT